CTTTTTTTCACTGTAGTGGTATGCTATGTGTATGCATAGCATGCACGGGCTTAATAGAAATGCTACCAGTTAATATGGTCTGTATTCCACATGGAAATGGAAGATCCTGGCAGAGTGCAGCATGGTCCAAGAAGTAGGATGCATACCTCAAGAATTAAGGGATCAGAATAACTGAAGGTTGACAACTGTCAGAACACAAGGTTCAAATAATCAAAAGAGAAATTAAGTGATAAATATATATGAAACAGTAATTAAACATTCAGCTTTGAAATGTTCATACTATGGTAATGTGGTATTTCTTTTAATGAAACTTCTCTTTTTAAATTAATATGGATTTCTCTTTAAATTGAACTCCTGAGTTTTTTGTTTCTACTGATCTTATAAACTGCTTTTATGCAAGCTTTTGCTCTGTCAATGTAGGAAAAGAAAAAACCTTGGTTTTATGAGATCCTTTGCAAGAAATTACATTCTTAGTCCAAAACTAGCTGTCCCAGGTCTCTTTCATAGCATAAATGAATATAGAATGCTAATCTTAAAATCATTGCTTACAAAAACTTGTACTGTACTTTCTCCTTAAATTCTGAACACTGACTTATGTTACTTTGTTCTAAAAGCTCACTGCTGTACATGGAATTCAGTCTGCTTTTGAAGAAGCGATGTCCTATTGTCGCTATCACCCATCAAAAGGCTATTGGTGGCATTTCAAAGACCAGGAAGAACGAGGTATGATTCTTAGTTGCTCCTTGTCTCTTGAGAGAAAGAAAAGATAGTATAGGCAGGGTGGGAGGTAAAAGCTTGAGGCAGCACACAGTGATGGTGTGGAGATGTTCTGTCTGAGGAGTAAGTTGGTGCTCTCTGCCAGTGGAAAGAATCTTGCTGATGGGGATAGACAGTGAGACATGGATAGGAAATAAAATGGTAAGCTATGTGTCAACACAATGGACCCAACTTCAACCTACTGGTGACCAAAGTACACTTTGTTTTGAGGTATAAAATTATTCTTAACCTGTCTTCCACAAAAAAACCCCAACAAGCCGAAGAGAAAATGGAGCTGAGGTTAAGAGGAGAGTTGCATTCCAACTTTGTGTACATCAGAGAGCTGCTGAGAGAACAAAACTTTTCATTAGCTTCCTCTTACATTTTTGTACTTGCAGAGAAAGCTAAGCCAAAAGCGAAGAAGAAAGAAGAACCAAGTTCTATTTTCCAAAGGCATCGGGTAGATGCTTTGCTTCTAGACCTAAGACAAAAGTTTCCACCCAAATTTGTTCAGGTATGACAGCTATAAGCCACAGTATTATTGTAACTTAGTCAGAACTTAAGGCAGTCATAAACAGCTGAAACTCACAGTGGGAATCTTCTGTGCTTTCTACAATGATAATACAAGTAATAAGTTTGAAATGGAAAGCTTTGGTTTGAGTGTGGGAATCCCCTCAGTAATTGCAGGAGTTAAGACCTTGGCAAAACGATGAGGGCAAATTGCATTGCACCAGTTCCTTATCTATTTGTAGAGGATCTGTAAATGTCAGCTATCTGACTTTGCTGGTGCTTACAGTTTCCTGTTTTGTGAGCTGAATCAGATCACCACAACTATTGTGTTCTGGTTACCCCATTGTTCTGGGTGCTCATTAATTAGTGTGGAAATTCTCAGCATTCTGTGAGGTTGTTGTGATTACCTCTGATAGTCTCTAATAGTTCTTTGTACCATTGTGTCTTCTGGTTGAGAGTAATGAAAATAATTTCTACAGCAACTCAGGAAACTGCTCCTCAGATATTGAGAAGGACGGCTGAGCATTTTTTCATTTAGTCCTTTTCAGCTGTCTGAGGAAAAACTGGATGTTAAAAAAAAATTAAATCTTGATGTTCAAAAGTTGGATTTTGTTTTAAGTGTATTTAGTGATCTGTTCAACAGCCTTCCCTTCTTCCTTCAACTCATGCGTGTAACAGCATTGCTTGGTGTGCGTTCTTAAGTGAATAGTAGGAAGGGTCAAGCATTAAGACTTCATTTCCACTGATGTGTTGTTTTTTCCTCCCCCACAGCAAAAGCCTGGAGAAAAGCCCATTCCAGGTAAATCTCTAATATTATCACAAGATCTAAAAAAAATGTGATGTGTGGTAAAGTCTTCCTGTTGCCCTATGAGCTTTTCACTGTTGCCACTGAGGTGGTTAGGGATTCTTCTGGCATTGTTGAATTGTGCAAATAAAAGAGTACAGAAGATAGAAAGAAAGAAATAGGAAAAATGCGTATTCTGCTCCCTGTCTGGAAGATGTCCTGCCCTTTCCATTTGTAAGAGCTATGTTATCTGAAGGTCCAAATGCAAGAAATAGTCTTTGAAAGCAGCAGACGGGGAAAAGGTAAAAGAGGAAAAGAATAATTTGGTCAGTCCAGCATCCTAGTGACTTTGGCAAGTTGCTCAGGAAAGCATGTGAAGGCTTTTAGTTGATCTGAAGCAACTTCAAAACAGGAAAAGCATAAACTAGATCTTTTCATCCACTCCATTTTTTTTTTTTTTTTTTTTAACTTGTATAGGCATGAATTTATTCCTTAGTTCTTAAACCTTTGAAACTAATTTTATCCTTTTGAAATCAATATTTTCTAAACACTTGGAAAAATATTTTGGGAATAAAAGTAGGCGGTTTAACCCTGTTTTGCTGTTACTTCTTAAGTGGATCAAATAAAGAAGGAGCCAGAACCAGCCCCTGAAGCTGTCAAGACAGAGGAGAAAGAGACTGTAAAGAATGCTCAGCAGAGTGCTGCTGCTAAAGGACCACCTGAAAAACGGATGAGACTACAGTGAAGGGTGAAGTCGATGCATGTCTGGATCAGTCAATACCTGGAAAACAGCAGAGTCCAACTCCCGTCCTTCATATTTACGCTCTTCAACCGAGACTGTGACATTTCAGGAATTCCAGTCCCTGTAACAGCTTTTTCTGTAGAAATCTGTTACGAAAATGTTAATGGCAGGATGTGAGCTGCCTTAAGTAAGGTGTTTTCAGTTTTCATCTTATTTTGAATATTGGCTTCTGGGAACGATTTTTACAGAGATGTATTTTGCAGCCTCCTGAAATCTACAAACCCTTGCATTCCTTGTGTCTTGGTTTGCTATGTAAACAAACAAAAAAAACCCCTTTAATACAACAGTAACAAACAATTCACCTTATATCTCAGTTAATAAAATCCTGATTGCTAGAATGCTTTTCCTCTTTATTAGCAATTAATACCATAGGTGCAAGCAGCAATTTTGTTTTGTTTGGATGTTGAAATATGTTATGGGCTATTTTGAGGAAGGCAGGTTTGCCTAAAGAGTTTAGGCTGTTTGCTGTAAATTGCTGTGCCTTTAGTATGCTTGGGACGCGCATCAGAAATTTGATAACTGAAGACTCAAGTCCACGTAATTAGGTGTCAAACTGTTCTCAGTCTGTAAGGGTTCTTGGATGTTTCTTTTACTTAATGGTTTAGCTTTTAATCTTTTATGATTAAAAAGTTAGTGTTGAGGGGGATTCCTTGTTGCATAAAATAAGCTAGAACGTCCTAATGTTGCACTATTGGAGTGAAGCTGTTTATGTTTCTCCTTTCCTTGCTTTCTCCCAAATATATCAGTTATGCATCTCTTCCTCTGTGCTTCTAGCACCTTTTTGCTGCGTTTTACCACCTTGATTAGTCATCTGCCTTTTAGACCTGAGGAGGTAGAGCAGTTGAACATTGCAAAGAGCATTTTATTTAGCCATGCTGTTTACACAACTTTGTTTTTTTTTTTTGCCCTGCAGAGAAAGATAAGAAGCCACCCATTGCAAAGAAATGACCATTGGGTTGTTTTTTGCTTTTGTCAAAGTAACGAAACAAAGTAGCTTGTTTTCTTTTCTCAACTGTTGTCATCTTTCTTGAGGTAAACTCTAGGATGTGACAAAAAGAGCTGTACGTAGGATATAGAATGTAGATAGGAAGGAAGACAAAGATACACTTCTATCGTTTCCTCAGATTTATTTTGAAGTTGTAAGAGAAGCCTTGTTTTCTGATTTAGTAACTAATGAAGAGTTCTGATGGAATAGCTATTGAACAGTGGAAAGAATTTTTGCCCTTTAATCCAAAACTGTAAAAGCAAATACAGATAAGCCAAGAGCTGTTTGCTGTTGATACATCAGTGTACTTAAGTGTGTATTACCTTCATTTTATATAACGTGGGTGGCATTTGAACTGCTATTCCTTGAAATGTTGATGGAAACAGGTAATAAGGTAGTGTGAACTATTAACTATAGAGAGAGCAGTTATTCTGGAATGCTCAAAACAAGCTGGAGCTAATTGTTTAACCTTGAATAATTACAAGGAAGCATGAATATGCTTAGAATAAAAGTTTTGCTTATTTCTCCTATTAAAGAAATTCCTTTGAAAGGAAGGAGCTTGAGAAGTGCCAAAACCATCATCTTGCTCACCTGTATGGTAGAAAGGAGGCATGAGTGGTGAGGAGCCTCAAGATTCCCCACTGAATTTCTGATATTCAGATGAAGTTCTTGAAAAGGGGCTGTTAAGGCAGCTTAATTCTATGCAGTGATTCATATCACTAGAACCTATAAGCTATTTGGAAAAGCTTAGCTAAGAAAGATGACTAGATTGCACTGCAATGAAGATTTAGGGTTTTATTTCAGTTTGGGAGACTAATTAAATATTTGTGTATCAAAGAAAGATTTGAAATTACTAGCATAGGAAGGATACCTTGTCTACTGTTGAAAGCATGTAAAAATGGTCAATGTGGATGCTAGTACAAGCACAAAATCTGTCATTAAGTGGGCTACCCCTTCAGTACAGTGTGTTGTACAGCACAAATACTGGAACAATTTTGCCAAAGAAAAGGATTTGAAGATTGGCGAAAACATGAGTAAGATGGGGAAAAAAATCTCTTATGAAGCCATTGGTAAGACCAAGACTTTCCTGGGAAAGAAAAATATTGGCCCTTTATAAAACTGAGTGCTGTGAAGCAAATAGGATACCTTGTTCTGTCTTGCATTGTAAGAATACACGGACAAGTTAATGAAGCTGAATGGAGTTGCATTTAAAATGAATCACTGCACTTCATGCTCAGAATTTGACCTGATTTAGAGATGAGAGTAAAACTTAGGGGGGGTGGACTGTCCTTGTGTTTGCCTCTCTTAACAGTGTTTTTGCTTTCTGCAGATGCATCTGGTTTTGGTCAGTGTCAGACTGAGGACATTAAAAAGGATCGTCTTCTGCTCTGATCCAGCTTGAGTTAATGCCAGCATATAAGCTATTGAAAGGATAGAAAATAGTTTCCACGCATGAAAATGTGAAGTAGAATGCAGTAAGCCTTTTTATTTTTTTATTTTTTATTTTTTTCCCAAAGAAGAATGATCTCTTCTGCAAAAAATATCAAGAGCTGTAGAAGCACAAATTATATTATAGAGCAATGGGAGATGTTATCGATTAATGTGTTGATTTCTTAGTAGCCATCTTTCAATGCTGAAGGCTTACTGCATGAGGGAGTGAGGAATTGGAATCTTGTCTGATCCTATTATTTGCTGACAAGATATTCTGAAACAACTTTACTGGTTAAATGAGCTTTGATATTTACTTGCTCAAGTGTAATTATATCAGTTATTACTGCTAAAATCAAAGTTGCTGCTAAAATGCTATCTTTTAGTCAGTTATGTTTCTTGGTGTATGAGAATCTAAGTCTTTTTTCCCTCTGGTGTTTATACGGTATCTCTTAGTCTGAGCCTGAGCACTGAAGTCCAAAGTCCTTCAGAGGACATTCCGTATTTGTAAAGCTTATAGATGAAAGGGAAATAAGCAGTTCCAAAATTTTTACTGTCACTTCGTTTTGGAGGTATTTGGTTGTACAAAGGAAATACATTTTTCTTTACTTTTGCTCTTAGTTAATAACTGTTCAGACTTTAAAAGGGCTTTTCTTAGTCCAAATCAGAGGGATGAAGGAATTGAAGATGACCTAAAAATCTAATAAAAACATTCTCCTGATAGCCTGAAGATGCACATGTCTGCATACATATCCACATGAACAGATATGTATGTATGCATATGCACTGCAAAAATCTGGCCAGATTTCAGGAAGAGAGGGAGCCTTGCTATCTCCCTTCACCATTTAAAGTTAACAGTATCTGAAATGTGTCACAAACACAGTCTTTTCTGCTCTTTACCAAGTAAGATGTGACCATGCGTTATGCTTACTCATTTCTCTTTGCCACCTGCACCCATACTTTGTATTTTGATAACCTTTCCCTAATTTAAAAAATAAATAAATTACATGGCATTTGAACAATCAGTGCATGTTTGCCATGTTTCCTTGGAGAGATACATAAATTTTGGATCAAGTGTTGTTTTAGTCCTGTATTCATATACAGGACAAACAAATGATCAGTTATTTGATGAATGTCCTTCTGCAGCATAATGTGGATTATGGATGTCTGGGTAGTAACAGGAAATCTTCCCAGTGAAATGAGGTATGACGTAGTACTATTCATCTCAACAATCAGAAATTTCATTTCTTTCTGTTAGGACAGTGGATTTCAACCTGTGGTCCTCAAGACCGCTGTGAGTTTGTGACCTGTTCATAAAGACTCACAGCAGGTAAGTGAGAAAAGCAAATCTCTTGCTAAGATTCAGTTTCATAAGAGCTTGTACCTCCATTGAAAATTTTAGGGGATGACCGCATGAAAAAAAAAGTTTGAAAGCACTGCTGCATACAAAGAAGGCCAGTTGCAGCTGCCAAACAAATGTTTCTGCTGCTGAAGTAGCTATGGATTGATGCAAACTTTCTTCTCTGCTCTTTTATAAGGTCAGTCTTTTTTTTTTTTTTAATTCCAACCTGTTCATTGTCATACAATGGTAATCTACCTCCCTCTCATTTATTCTTAATCAGAATACAAAGTGCAGTGTTAGTCAGAACAAAGTGTCATCTCTCTTTATGAAATCTTGCTGCCAGAGGGCTTGCTTGAGATGTTCAACACAATGTGAAACTGTTTACATGTTCCACCCCCACCCAAATAACCTGCAGTGAGTTTAATAATGGAACCACGTAGTTTCTGGTCCTGACTGTATAGTGATACATATACTAAAAGATAAGAAAATAGTTTGCCTGCTTATCTGCAGCAGTTTGAAATGTTAAGATTTTTTTTTTCTGGTGGTCTAACTGTATGATCTGTTCACTCAGTGCAGACGTGGATGACTAGGAGCATGAAACTTAGCTGGGGCCCCTCCTCACACAGAGTTCTTATGTCTATGCAGGATAAATGAGGATTGTAGAAAGCTGTGAGTTTGCTTGTTTTGTTCTGTTTAGTCTTCCACAAGAGCCTATGCCTGTACTCACAGAGCAGGGGATGGCTGTCTTGAGGTGCCTTTGTGGCCATCCAAGATGTACCTCTAGGCAGTGGGGTGTCATTTCCTGATGGAGAAGGCAAAGGAGGCTGCCATGTTGCTGATCTTCCCTGGTACCTCCCAAGGGAAGGGCAGGCACTTAAGGTGCAGTTCTAGACCTGAAGGTGGCTCCTCCATTCCGAGCTCCGGCCCCTCACAAACAGAGCGCGGGGCAACGCTGTGCAGTTACCATGGAGACGCTGCTGGTGCTGGTGGTGCTGCTGGGCCTGGTGGGGTGCTCCACCACCCCTGATGATGAGCCTGGGCCACTTCGTGTCACCGGTGTGTGGGTGACAGTGCCACGACAGCTGAGCCCCCGGGCTGATACCAACCCCCTGACTGTCTCCTACTGGCTGGAGGTGCAGGGGAGGCCACAGGTCCTGCGCCTGCGGCCCAGGAAGGGCCTGGCCTCCCAGCCTTTCACTTTGGTCACCTATGGCGAGGATGGGGCACGTCGGGAGGAGCATGTCTACGTTCAGGACAATTGCTTCTATCAAGGTGAGGTGCAGGGAAGTCCCGGCTCCCTGGTGGCCCTCGGCACCTGCGGCAGGGGCCTCCGTGGAGTGCTTTGGATGGAAGGCAGCACCTACGAGATCGAGCCCATCCCTGATGATCCAGCCTTTCAGCATATGCTCTACCGCATGGAGGCAGACAGCGACCCTATGGGCCCCACGTGCGGGCTGACCCCCACAGAGCTGCAGTACCAAAAGACTGTGCTGCCCTGGCTTCAGGCTCCACGAACAGAGGAGAAGTACATGCTGAAGGACTGGTGGACACATACCAGGTATGTGAAGTTAGTAGTGGTCGTGGACAACGTGCGGTTTGTGAGGTCAGACAGGAATGAATCCAAAGTCTTGAGGCAAGTCCTCGAAGTTGTCAATATTGGAGATTCTCTGTATGACCAGCTTTCTGTTCAACTGTTCCTTGTTGGACTGGAGATTTGGACCAAAGGCAATCTTATAAACATTACTAACTCTGTAAACAAGGCACTTTCAGACTTTAACAAATGGCGAAAAACAGACCTATATCCACGGATGCGCCATGATGTTGCTCACTTATTTGCATTTCAGGGCTTTGGAAAAAGCCTGGGATTGGCATATCTGGGGTCCATATGTGACAGGCAGTGGTCAGCAGCAGTTGATTCCTTCACCAACAGGAGGCTGTCTTCATTTATTGTCACATTTGTCCATGAGCTGGGCCATAATCTTGGGATGCGTCATGATGAACGGCACTGTAAATGCAGGCGGAAGAGGTGCATTATGTACGAAAGTGAATCTGACACCGACGCATTCAGTGACTGCAGTTACAAAGACTACTTTGATCTGCTTGGGAGTGGTGGTAGCTGCCTGCGTCAATCACCAGCACTTGGCAGCTACTATACTCTGAAGCGTGAATACTGCGGGAATAAGATAGTAGAAAGTGGAGAGCAGTGCGACTGTGGTTCAAAATCAGACTGCAGAAACGATCCTTGTTGTCACCCTAACTGCACGTTGACTGAAGGTTCAGTTTGTGCTTCTGGAAAATGTTGCAAGGGCTGTCAGATCCTTCCAGCAGGAACACTCTGCAGAGCACGTACCGGTAACTGCGACCTGCCGGAGTACTGCAATGGGACCTCGCCTTGGTGCAAGCCAGACCTGTATGTACAAGATGGAGCCCCTTGCGAAGATGGTGCCTATTGCTACAAAGGAAAATGTTCTTCCCACGGTAAACAATGCAAGCATCTTTTTGGCAAACAAGCCAGGCCCGCTCCTTTAGATTGCTTCAAAGAAGTGAATAGTCGAGGTGACCGTTTTGGAAATTGTGGTATTCGTAACGGTATTCATTTTACTAAGTGCAGTGTTGAGGATGCCTTATGTGGTAGGCTACAGTGTGAAAATATACCCAAGTTGCCCTCTTTGCAGAACCACATAACAGTCATCCAAACCCCTGCCAGAGGTAAAAAGTGTTGGGGTCTTGACTATCACACAGGGATGCCTGTAGCTGACTTGGGGGCTGTGGAAGATGGCACGAGGTGTGGCAGCAACAAGATTTGTATTGACAGGACATGTACCGATATTTCAGTGCTGAATTATGATTGTAACATAACAAAGTGCCATAACAGAGGAGTGTGTAACAATCTTAGGAACTGTCACTGCGAGTATGGTTGGGCTCCTCCATATTGTGAGCGGGAAGGATTTGGAGGTAGCATCGACAGCGGGCCCCCTCCATCCAAGCAGCTTTTTCGGAGGTCAAGAATAGGAGTAGTTGGCCTTGTTTTTCCTGTTGTTCTTGGAGTTATTCTTGTCATATATTATAAAAAGGAAATAGGGGAATGGTTTATGAGGATAAGGCCTGATTCCACAGAAGGAGTTAGTGGTTGTTTCAAATACTGCAAATGCCAGTAGTTGCTATATAACACCTACTGCTGAGACAAAATCTACTACCGTGCACTTCGCAAAGACCAACAAAGCTCTGGCTTTGGATGCTCCTAAGAAAATCTCCTAAGGAAGTCAGCAGAGCCCGCTGATACCTTATTGAAATAATTCAACACATTCTGAGTTGTTATAATCCAATACAGCATTGTGAAACAGATTAAATGTTATCTCTGTTTATTTTAAGTTAATAAATGCAGGCAATAAGGTATGCTGCTCTCGGTTTGTACCTTGGGTTCTTAAAAATGAAGCGCTCAGTGAGCGGTGAGTATGCAGTGTATGTACTGCTGGGTCCTCCAGAGAAGTGCTGTGGATTTTACTGCTGCAAGAACAAGCAATCTATGAGGCTGCACAAGTTCAGTGCACTTCTAAAATAGGGCTGTTCTGCAGCTCTCCTAGCCTCACAACTCCTGTGCTATTTGACAGATGCTTTATATCTGCCTACCTCGGTGCCTTTCTCTTGTTTTACTCTGTGATTGCTTTGGGGACTGTTAGCAAATATGCTGCCAAAGCTCTACAACGTGTCGCACAGAAGCATTTCTTTTAATAAGATGTAAAACGTGTCATTTATGAGAAAGCATGAGGGATCTGGGAACACCGTTCAGTGCTTTATTGTGTGCATTAAAGCAATGTCTAGAACTCTAACGCAGCAGAAAGAAGACGCTGTATTTTAACAGTGAGAGTTTTATTCTGAAGGAGGGGCATTTCTGTAGGAAAGGCCGTAAAACAGTTCACTTGTCTGCTAGCTGAACAATCGTTGCTGTTGCTGATTGTCAGCAAACCGTTAACTGCCTTTTTTTAACGCTTTAAACGGACGCGGGCAGAGCTAACCGCCACCGCCAGCCCGCCCGCCCCGGGGCCGTCCAGCCGCACCGGCTCGTGCGCCCTCAGCGAGCCCCGCGGCGTGCGCGAGGCACTGCCAGCAGCGGGCCGCTCGCGGGCTGCGGCGGCTGCCGGGCCCGGCCCGTCCCTTCCCGGGCGGACTACAACTCCCAGCGCTCCGCGGCGCGGCCCTGCGCCGGCGGCTGAGGAAACGAAAGCCGTTGCCTCGCCAGCCGACTTCACCTTCAGGCTGCAGCATGAACGGCAGCGTGGCGGGCGGCGGCGTTTCCGAGGAGGTGATCCGGCTCACCCGGGGACCCTCAGGTGAGGCCGGGGCGGCCGCGCTCCGCGTGGGGCCGCGTCGAGGCGGGGGGGGGAGAGCGGGCCGGCACCTCAGCCGCCCCTTCCGTGGATGGGGAGGGGGGGAAGGGGGACGCGGCTCCGGCGTCGGAGGTGCCGCCGAGGGGCGGGGGGGAGCCCCGAGCCCTGCGGGAGCGGCGTCCTGCCGAGCCCCGACCGGGCAGCGCGGCGCCGGGGCTGTGCCGGCGGCGCCGTGCCGAGCACGTTGCTCCGGAAGGGGACTGCGAGCTGTGTGAGCGGGAGGCGACGCCGTCGGACTTGGTCTTCCGCGATAGCAGCGCGGAGAAACGCCGTCGGCTTCTTGGCTGGAAACAAGGCGACTTTCAGGAGGTCTGCGCGGCTGCTCGTGCTGTCCAGTGAAGCGACAGGTGTGCTGCCCTGCAGCGCTGCTGAGCGCCCAGAACCAGGGGCGTTCCTACGGCTTGTGGGCTGCGGTACCTCGTAAAGGCAGCTCGTGGAGGCCGAAACGGAGCTCTGAGTTCGGCTGGGGTGGTGCTGAGCTTTCTGTGAGGGAAGGGGGATGGGGAAGGCTGGGAGGTGTTGTTTGGCTTTGCTTTTCCCTGTGTCGGTCCCGTGGCGGTGACCAGGCCTTTAGACGCTTGCTGGCTCAGTTACAGCACTAAAGCAGCATTGTCAGTGGTGCAGAAAGTTAGGGGCAAAAGCCTCGAACTGAAGCGAAATCCTGGATCTGAAGCGTCGCAAACTCTGGGGAACTTCTGAAGGCAGAGCTTTGATGTATGAGGCCTTTAATTAAAACAGAGGTGAATGAAACCGGCTCGGCTGCAGCACATGGCCACGGGCCAGCTTTGCCTTGTGCCTCACCGTGAGCTGCAGCACTGACATCTTCACAGCTAGAGCAATAATGACTGACCCTGGGGAGGTAGATGGCCTCCCCTGCTCATCCCGTGGCCATGAGATAACACATAACAGATATTGTGGTTACCCCCCATCCTCCTGCCTCAGAGAACTTCTGGCAGACTGGTCTGAGCAATGGGGTTGGATACCTGAAGGCAGTTAGGATCATGGCAGACTCTTTGCAAGAGGTACTCCACTTCTGTGCTGCTTCTGGTCTCCTGGTAGTGATCTGCAGGATCAGACTTGGCCCCACCACGAGCAGGCACCCTGTGCCTTGTGGCTGTAGGAGGAGTGACTGCTCTGAGACCCGTGCAGCTGTGCTGGTGTGGTTGTGAGCCTCAACCAACAAAAATGAAGTTCTGTCTTGAAGTTCCTTCCATGCGTTTGGAAACATTTCACTTAAAATCTTGAGGGGCAGGAAAAGGGTGTTGAAGGACAGAGTTGAGAGGTCTTCACCATGGCTACTGGAATGTAGATCTGATTCCTGTGAGCAGCACCTGTGCAGTCAGTAGGATGAGCCGTCTGTTTTTTATGCAGCCCCTTGTGATCTTGAATCACTTGTCATTCATTTCTGTTGAAGCAACAAACCTGTGAAGCAGAGCGTAATCCTACAATCTCTCTAATCTGAGTTTTGAGCGTCTAGTTTTCTAGAGTATAACTGATGATAAACATCTCTGGCAGAAGTTTCTGAGGGGCTGAACATATTTATAGAAGCAAAACTGTTTGTATAAGTCTCTTTCATATTTCCTTCTGATTTATTAAGCTGAAGGGGGGAGGAAAAGTCTGTTTTAATGAAAAACTAAATAACTTTGCAGATTCAATTTGTAGTTTGTATTCTTCAGTATCTAAAGATCCTATAAATCATGGGTTGTTTTTGAATATTGTTAGAGGGAATTTTTATGTTTTTAGGGGATAAAGGAGGCATGGAAAGTTCAGAAGGTACACCCACATCTTCTGTTAAAGCTTGATCATTGCATTTCTTGCCTCTTGTAGGTGAGGAGCTTAATGCCGCATGCTCTCTTCTTCCCCTTCCTCTCTTTCTCCTGGTTATACTCAGTCTCTTAATACATAAGCTGGAAGGAGGAGAACAGCAAAAAAGCTGAAGGGAAGGCAAAGAAGGTATTTTTAGCCAGGCTGGAAGTTTAAGTGCAGAGGAGAAAAAGCCCTGCAGTGAGTCCTGCGGGTCTTTAACTCAGTGACACGCATTGCTGCCTCACAGAACTCTGTTCTTTCTTTGTCTTGTCCCTGCTGATGCAAACAATGGCTTTAGGTTGTTTTGGTAACCACGGGTGAAAAATTGTAAAATATATTTTTATTCATATTGTGTTGTTTTTTAAATATATATACACAGACATATCAAAACAGAGAGAGAATCATTATTCTCTGAAAGCTAGATTCCTTCTTTCTGTTTTTTTTAATAAACATTGATTAAAACTCATATTTTCTATAGTATTGATTTCCCTGAAGCTTGATGGCAAATCATTGTGGATGTTTGTACTTTTTTTTTTTTTTAATTCCCATTGAAGAGTGTGCAGTTGTGCTCAAGTGCTCCTTGTAATAAATATTACTCCAGCTGAAAAGTCAGTGTTTCATCACTCTATTGTTCCTCCCATCTTCTTCCTCATTTGTCTGAAGCTGCCAGGAATAGGAGGGAGCAAAACAAAACAGCACAGGTGTCAAGGTCACTGTTAATATTTCTCTGCTTCCTAGCTGTGGATGCACGCTTACGCCGTGACTCATGTCATGCAACCTTTGGTCCCTCGTGACTAATTAAAAATACTGTTTCCCAGCAGGCATGATGTGTTTTTTCCCTTTCACTTTCTACTCCGCTTCCCAGTATTTCAAGTCCCAACTTTGGGAGAACAAGAGAGAGAAAGGAAAAACAAACCAGCCTGGCTGAATGTGGAAAGAATTTGCCTTCAGCTGTCCTTGACAGTAGGGTTTGGATGACTGCGTTATATCAGAGAAATAAAGTGGTTTTTTCTTTGTTTATTTGTTTTGTTTTTTCCTCAATTTACTTTGATATACTGTATTTCTTTTTTTTTCACCACAAGTCTCCTTTTAGGAATCTTACCCATCCCTTAACGTATTTTACTCTTGACAGGGAAGCCCAGCTGCATGTACAGTACAGAATGTGGTTTTCCAGATGCTGAATTCAGTTTGTTCTTCTGGATTTTGAGGAAACCAGAAGACTTAGTCTTTAATTGTGCTTGAATCCAGCTGTTGGGTCCAGCCAGTTTTCTGTATACAAGGCTTGTTTTAAAGAACCACACAAAACAAAAGTGTGGACATCAGTTCTACATAATGTATGTGTATTTCTTTTTGTTTTACTTTAATTCCTGGAACTTTTGTTTCCTGTCATGAACTCCTGAAACAGAACAAAATGAATACATAAAATCTGAACAAGCTGTGTCTGACTTGCTGTGACTCTTGGAGGGAAAGACTGCCAGTCCCAGCCCTGTAGGTGCAGATGGGAGCTGTTGAGCTGTCCTCAGGCTGGCAGCATGGCTCCTCGTGTGCATTTCCTCATCTGTAGACAGGGACTGGTGCTCCTTGCCTTCCCTAACTCTGACTCTCAACTCCTGAAACTTGTGAGGGGTGATTCCTTTTTGCTCCAAGGTTTTGCTGCAGCCTCCTGTGAAATGCAGAATGCTTCTGTTTCCTTTCATTCTGCGCTGAAGAGGTGAATTCCTGCTGAGGGCTGAGCTGACATCCTAGAAGTGAAGATGTGCTCTGCAGTATTTCTCAGCTGACGCTTTGCGGAATGAAGCACTCAGAGTCTCTCCTCTGCTTTGAAGAACTAATTGTCTTCTTTAGACAAAGATGGTTGGGAAGGACGGTACTGATTTGCGTGCTGTGAATTTCAGTGTGGTGGAGCTAACAGGACAGTGTGGGTGGGCACACTTCCCAACAGCAGCAAGAATGCCTGGAGCTTAGAGTGTTTTCTTACCAGCTTTCTCTCTGGCTTACCTTAGGGCTGGGCTTCAACATTGTTGGTGGTACAGATCAGCAGGTCATTTCTAATGACAGCAGCATCTATGTCAGCCGGATCAAAAAGGATGGGCCAGCTCACCTCGATGGCCGATTACAAGAAGGAGATAAAATTCTGGCGGTAAGCCCTTTCTTCTGTCCTGCGTGATCTTGAGGTGCTGTGTTCAGTGATGGGATAGGACATGCAGGTTTGCCACCAGAGGAGGAAGGATGTGATGAATGCAGTTGATGCAGAGCTGTGGAGAAATCATTGTGGGGATGTGGGAGAGCCCTGAGCACCAGGGAGATGAGTGCCTCTACGCATGGGTCCATCTCTTCAGCCCTCCCAATTTGTTCTCAGAGATGCTTCTTGGTGCTGCATTTCTATTTCCTCTGTAACTTGCCTCCCTGACATTTTAGACTTCGTCTTGCCTTCTGATGCTCACAGAGGATCATTGTTTACACACATATAAATAAAAGAATTGGTCTTCCACCTCTACATTTTTTTTCACTAGTATTTTGTGACTACCAATCCTTCTGCTCAGGAGGATTTTTAGGTCATAACACTTCTAGTCCGTAGAACTCCACTGCAACTCATCAGGAGTAATACAGACTGTTCCTTCTTTCAGATAAGTGCTTTAAAGTATCTGACTTTGAGTCCCCCCAGTTCTTGGAACTATTCTCAGTCATACAATACGCTTTCAAAAGCAATGAGTGAAGCTTCTCCTAGTGTGATATATGATCTTTGAGTACTCTTTAGTTTTATTTTATACTTAATTATGTTCCATATGTGAACTTTTTAGTCCCTGTAAATGAATTGAATGCCTTGTACTAGTTAGAGCCTGTTACTGATCCAGAAAATGACATTAAATTAAACCACAGGATACCATCTGTTATTTTCTTGACAGTTTAATATTTTTGTACGTGTGTTTGGGGAGTCTGGGTGTCAAGAGAGAGAAGGAATTGGGTGTGATCTCAAGGGATGCAATTAGAGGTAATGGTGATGAAACAGTGAGGAAAAAATGGGATGAGTATCATTATTTAGTGAATGAAATAAAACAGGCTATAAAACCTTCTGCTGTGAGAAATTATTTAAAGAGAAATCCTAGCAATTCAAAGGGGATGCCAACATGTGTGTCTTTTATTTTTTAACATCATTATGCTTTTAAATTTATGTTTTCATCAGTCTTCCAAAGAAAACATTTCAAAAACATAGTAGTAGAGGATCCAATGTGGGAAGGATGTTCTCTTAACAGTAATAATAATTTTGCTGTCACTGCTCTTTTATTTTCATTAGCTATCACAGTTACACCTTTGATTTATTTTCAGTAAAGCTACAACATAAGAAGCTGCTATTGACACAGCTGTTGTCTTTTGGCCTGTTTTTTTTTTTTTACTAGGCAGTATTTTTTTCAACACCTCAATCTTTTGTCTTGAAGTTTCTCATGTTATCTCCCAATCTTAAAATGCATTTGTAATATGAATGGATGAATGTTGGTGTTGGTATCTGTTGTGTTTCATGCATGCCCTCAGTGGCAGAATTATGTGGAAGAGGAAGATTTTTATCTCCTATCTCCTATCCATGCCCTTTAGCAGTTGGTTCTCTTTTTTTTTTTTTTTTTTTTTTTTTTTTGCTAGATCAATGGCAGAGACTTGAAGAATTTGCGACACATGGATGCTGTGGAACTGTTCAAAAATGCAGGCTATGATGTGTCTCTGAAAATTCAGCACAGGGTATGTTTAACCTGCTTCCTAGGCTTGTTTCTGGCTCAATTTAGACTGGTTTCTCTGCTTGTTACTTCTCCCTTTTATGAAGCAGAAAAATGCAGTGTCCAGGTGCCCAGTGTAAGTTATGCATATAAAGAATTTGTCTGACCAGTGGCCTCCCTTAGTCAATGAGTGCTGTGTCCATACCTTGGATTACTTGTTTATCAGTGTATTAGTGAAGTGCTGAGGTTGGAGGAGTCCCTGGGTCTTTCTTTTTGCTGCACTGTGCTGTGTTTTCTCGCAGATCTCCTTTCTCAGAGGCCAAGGTTTGCCTGTGAAGGCAGAATCTCAGGTTCTCCAGTTTGCTTTCAGAAGCCAAAATCTAACTGGAGACAAAACTTCCCTGTTTTAGAGTTCATGTTAGTGGTGAGGTGTGTGTGTACCCAGCACAAAGGAACGTTTGCTGCAGTACTGTAAATGTATTGGCGCTGTTTTGGACATAAGGGAGGAATCCTTAATCTGCTGCTGCCACTTGAATATCCCCGGCAAGCATTGAAGTTGATGAAGAAGATACTGGTCAGCTTGAAGCATGCTGGTGGGAGGTGGTGGGATGAGACCCCTTTCCTACTCCCTTAATGAAGGAGTAAATATTCTGGAACTTTGTATCTGGCAGATGGGAAAAGCAGAAGAAACTACTGAAGGAAGAGGTGCCTGCTAATGTCTGGGTACTGTAGTAAAGCTCAGTCCACCTGAAGCTGTTCTGACCCTCCCGTGTGCGCACAGACAGCTGGGGAAGCCGTCTTGCATGTCCTTACAGAGCCAGCTGGTCCTGACACAGAAGCGCAGGCTGCAGTGGGCTCTCTGACACGAATGCTTTGTTCTTCCTTGTAGTTGAAGCCAGAAAATGGCCCAGCGGGTCATCGAGGTGGTGGAGACTCAGGTGGGCTTCCCCTAGCAGCCATTCTTGTTCCAGGCCTGGCACTCGCTGCAGCAGCAGTCTGGATCTTGTTGAGGTATCGACACCGGATGTGAAGAGTACATGCTTTGGAGATCACTGCGTATTTTACAGCTATGATGTAATGTAAAGATAGAGATTAACGATCTTGTCTCAGACTGATGTCAAAGAGGATCATTGTCTACCGTAAAGTTGCTGCTGGTGTTCTTTATATATTGATTTATTGCAGAGTAAGCAGAAAGGAGCAGGGGAAAGGAGACGACTGTGTTCATGTATTAAGTGGGATGGCTGTTGTGTTGTCTTTAACTCATATGAGAAGTTTTTAGCCATCTCCTTCCATTTGCACCACGAACTTTCAAACACACATCTGTTCCATGTTTTAGGATGTGATTCTTTATGAAGAGGTTGGGAGGGTGGGTGGGACGGGTTTAAATCAAATACTCTTACTAGAGGCTTTGCCTTGTTCCCACTGAATTTCTCTTGGAACTAATGATCCATACCTGAACCATGAATAAAGAGAAATAATGCAGAGGCTATCTTATTTTTTTCTGTTGGCTTTTGTTCTTTTTGTTGTACTAAATAAATGCCTTAAGAAAAATGTATAAAGTCTGATCTACAGTTTCACAGGTAAAATCCTCGGTATAACTGCTGATTTAACACTAATGTACAGAACTGGTGAGGTATTCTACCAGTTCTGGAAATACAGAAGACGGTCCACTGCTAGAGAAAGACTTTTGTTGTCAGAATACTGTCCATTTTTGAATCCAAGTTGTAAGAGGATGCTTTCCACAAATTGCTAGTGTAGCAGAGAGAGATGTGCAGACAATTGAAACACAAGAATAAGTAATGGCAAGAGATATGATCATGCTGAAGCTGCAGAAGTCTTTCAAGTAGTAATGAAGCAGTAGCACCTCCATCCTTCAAGCTGATTGAAATCTGCATCTTTTGGGTGAAAAGTTTCTGTTGTGAGTTTGTTGGTTTGTTTTTTTTTTTCTGTAAGGGGAATACTGCTTTTCTGTAGCAGCTAACTTGCTTTCTGCAGTCAAAAATCTTACAGTGATTGAAAGAGGGAAAGCTGAGAGTAGTCTGGGATCGTCCTGGCTATGACTTGCTGTGAAGACTGATCTGATGCCCAGGCTGAGGAGATAGGGTGGTGAGTGTGAGACAGGGTAAGGTTTAGCAAATACAGCTGAGGGGCAGGTTCTTTCTCTGGAAAATATGTTACTGAGCTTACCTTCAGAGACTCATCTTCTCACTGTGATTGGAATAGTTTTAAATGCCCCAGCTGACCTGGACTCTGTAGAGTAAGACTTGTTTCTCTTGTCTCCAAGAAAGAATGTTTTTTTCTTGTTGTTATTTTTGTAAAAGAAAAGCACACTGCATGATCTGGTCTGTATGATGATCAAAGAAAAATCATATATGCAATATATATATTCAAACAAAGAAAAACTGGTGTCTCAGTGCTTTACTTTTCTCTCTTCTTTGTTATTTTAGCAGGACATTGACGATGCATTTGGAATTGTTGTGTGTTTGCACAAGGCTGTATTCTTGCCATTCACAAGAAGTGAAAGCGGTGTGTTGTTATGCATGATGTTCCTCAATCACCACAGAGGTTCAGATCAATTGGGCCGTGTGAAATCTTAGCCTGGCATGTAAACTGCTCTCGTGTAAAGAGAGGAGAAAGCAGGAGGAATTTTCCCTACGTTCTTGGTGAACCTTAGGAACAGACTTGATGCACAGGAGTTTGATGGGCTGATGCATGCAGTTGGCCTGCACACCAACTATGTTGGACTGTGTGAGGGATGGATTTTTGCAGATGCAGCAAGAAGCATTGTGCCTGTCTGTGACCTGCTCTGAATGTTTGGCTGTGGTGTCCGTGTAGAGCCTGCATGTATTAAAGAGGGCAACTGCAGCTTGATGCTGTAATTCCAACTGTGAAAATAAAGGCACAGAGAGCAAGAGAAAGTCTCGGAGACAAACTTTCTCTTAGCCCTGGAGTGAGTCTCATCTCTCTGCAAGACAGGAGTGTGGAGCAAGCTGAGGAAAATGAGGAGTTAAGGAGGAGGTTATTTGCTCTTTTACCATTGAAGTCAGCAGATAAAACACAGCCTTTTTTATTTTTATTGTTTTGTGCTCTTCAGGCATGATTGCCATCTGTTCTGCAGGCAATTTATTAAATTATGTGGGGGGGGTTGGGGGGCTTATCTCTTGTGCCCAAATAATTCATGTGGCTTACTGAGCAGCTAAAAGCCTTCTGGTGCATGCTATTCCTTTGAATTCCTTTTCCACAATTATTTGAATGATTTTAATACCATGGCATTAACTTGGTGGCTTTTCCAGAAGTAGCCTTTTCCAGAATAGTGGCTTTTATTTAACCAATCTAACCCTCAGGACTAACTTTCTCTGCCTTCTTCAAAAATGTGTGTGGGTACCACCAAACGATCCGCATTCCAATCCCTGACCACATCATGTCCCATTTATTGAAAAGAACACCTTAATGTCAAACAGCCCTGTGAGCTGTGGCACGTATTTCTGTACCTCAGCAACTAGGCTGTACCACCTAAACTTTCTGTGCTTTCCACAGTTTCTTTCTCCACTCAGTTCCTGTAGCCTTGAATTTTGTCTCTATTCTGAACACTGTGTAGAAAATTTTCTGTCATGACTGAAGAAATGAATTAAATGAAAAGAAAAAAGCTAATGATGACAGGGTGTACATGCAAAAAATGAGAGAGAATGCTAAGGAGAACACTTAGAACAGCTGAAACTCTTCAATCCCTGTTTCTTTCTCATTTTCTTCAATTCCCTCCCTTATTGTGAACTTACTGACCTGCTGAGGCCTGAGTTTTCATATATGTAGCGTAAAGACCAATCCACTTCATTTAATTGGCTTCCTGTATATTCCAGGCATTTATGTCTCACCAGGTTTCCTGAACTATATACACTAATGACGTATATTTGATTTAGGCATAACAGTGAGAAAGAGAAGCCAGGCTTGATTTGAAGATAGGAAGATGCGCTGCTTCTGGCACTTCTTAACTAAACAAACTGAAAGGGAGCATATGAGAGGAAAAGATATCTTACTTCAGTTTGCCTTCAGATTCCAGCAACTGGCTTGTTAGGTGTTATGAAAGAGCCCTCTAATAACTGATGTTTTTTTCCCTGTGAGAGGGCTTGTGTTTTGTAATTGTTTTACTTTTCACATATCACTTCTAAGAAATTAAGCCAACGGAACCCATTAGGATTTTCAGCCAACTTATAAGAACTGGTTTGTATAAAATAACTTTTACAAATCTCTTAGAAATGGTAGACTCTTTTCCCCATATTTTTTTGTTTTCTGAAGTGCAGTACAGAACCTGTAGATCACAGTACAAATGCCATCGCCACATAGAGAAATTCACTTTTTTTCATTTTATATACCAAAAAAGCAGTACTGTTTGATCACTCTGTGACGCTAGAAATTTGTGTTAATTGCCACTTGAGTTTTGACTTCTAAATCCACCACTGTGCCCAGATGTGACCTACATGGTGTAAGAGTATGAGTATTTGTGTTTTGTGGAATTCATGCATATCTTATATGAATTGGTTGTGCTTAGTAACAGATCTAGATTACAAGATCTTTGTCTGCCTTGTCTGTGGTATAATTTGCTCAGCCCACTATCTGTAGTGATACTGATTTTTGTCTCCTGCCAGACCACTGGTGAAAATACTGAATGGAATTTGGTATAGAGGCAGTGTCCCAACATGGTTATGATTTTTTTTTTTTTTTAATAACTGTTGGCATCTTCTAATTATTGGATTCTTTGTATATTTAACAGACACGTTTTGATGGTTGAGCACTGGCACAAGATACCCGGAGGCTGTGGAGTGTCTTTCTTGGAAGTATTCAAAAGCTGCCTGGACGTGGCCTGGGCACCCCACTCTGGGTGCCCCTGCTGGAGCAGCGATTGGGTCAGATGGACCCTGATATTCCTGCCAGCCCCAGTCACTCTTTGGCACCATATAGCATCCTTTTTCAATAAACCATGTATCAGCATGCTGCACAGTGCTAAGTAGATTCCATCCGAGTGGCTGTTAAACGTCATCAGCTTTCTTCCTGGAAGAAGAAGATACAAGGATAGTAGTGTATTACCATTGTAATTTAATTAGGTGAGTTTATTAGTCTCACTCTCCTCCTCTTTCCCAACTTGTTGACGTCGCTTTATGGGACTGTGTCCCACAGCTGTGGTCCCAAGAGAACATTTCTATGGAGAAGTCTGAAGGAGAGTCTTAGCTTTCCTTGTGACTAGCTTTAGGCAGACTGATGCTTCATCCATGCTGCCTTCTCAAAATGCTTCCTTTTAAGAGCTCTGGCTGTTACCTTGCATGCAGCTGAGGGATACTCCATGCCGTTCAAGCTTTCTCGAAAAAGGATCTGTGGGAGTGTGCACTGACTCAAATGAAGAGCAATGCTGTGTGGACTTGAACCATGGCTTTCCTTGTCATTCTGGAGAGCTTTTGTTTTTGCTGCTGCATCTGTAACTGATTCTGGCAAATTTCACTATAGGCAGAGCTGTGTGTCTCTCATTTGACTGCTAAAACCAGCTTTCCTAGAATAGTGCTCTTATTAAGGGAGGCTAACTGTGCTAAGTATGCAGGATAATTATTCAAATTGCCTTGTGTTGATTGGCAGTTATTTGCCAAGCTTTTGTGCCTGTGTGCAACGTAAAACCTCTGTCAGTAGGCACTGTTTCTGCTTTCTCACTCACTGTGCATGTCTTCCAGCCAAGTATTGCTTTGGTAAGGTTCTCTTCCCTCTCATCCCTCTTCACTAACTCTCAGCAGCCTAACATTTGTGCCTGGCTTGCATTTTTTGCAATGACACAAAAGCAATTATTCTTAGAAAACTGCTGCTTTTGCCTTGTATCAGCAAATACTGATATTTGTTAATTCAGCGATGTCCCTTTAGGTAGTTAGAAGTTATGTCAGATTTTGACTTATGCACTGAACCAACTGTTGGACTTGCTGTTACTTACTCCTTTTCTTTCCTTTTTGGAAACAGACATTGGCAGTTAGCTGTGTGACAGCCCTCTTTCTGACTGGTGCTTCTGGTGTAGGACATATGACTGGAACACCAAGTGTGAGCCTTTTCTCATCTGATGTGGCTGAGGCTGTCCAGTTTGACAGCCTCAAGCTCTGATCAGCTCCAAACTTAGCCCAGAGATGTCCTAGAATCAATGCTCTGAGTATCAGTATGTTAAGCAGGATGCTACACTCTTTATAGCAGTCTTGTCTGGCCTCCAGCTTGGGGCATGTCTTTGAAGACCCCCTGGTGCAGTCATGATAACTCTGAGCTCCACATCTGTCCATTGTGATGTGTCTGTGCCTCACCTTCCCAGTTTCCTGATCTCCTGGGTGGTGGTGAGAGAA